CATTTTTGCGATCGGGGCTTTTTTCCGGAAAAGACTACTGGGCTGTCTACACTGGCCCTTTTCCGGAACAGTGTTCCATAATAAGGACTTATGCCCGAGCGGGAGCAGAATAGTTTTTCCGGAATAGCGGCTGATTTTGTACAGTAGAGCATCGTTGCTTTTCCGGAAATTCAAGGGCCAGTGTAGACAGCTCGCAGCTTATTCCGGAAAAGCGGCTGATTTTCCGGAATAAGTGGCCCAGTGTAGACACAGCCTTTCAGTCTGACCTTTCCTATGAGTGGGTGATGGAAGGCAGTACAGTGCTTGGCATGCACATGTCTGTTACTGTGCTCCCTGTGGATAGCATTGCACCTGAAGGGATGGAGAAGCCAGAGTTGTTCATTGTCTCAGAGGGAGGGAAGAAAGCTCTGATCCAGCAAGACCTGGATGTGGATTTGGCCATGGATAACATTTTGTGCACCATCACTTCTGGATACCTAGAGAATCTCTCCAGCCCCTGAGTCTGAAAAGTCTAGAGGTGACACAGCCATCAGTGCCTTCTCATCAAACATGTTCACTTGGGACATATCAGCTATGTTCAGAGCATCCACAAGGCAATGGAGCCCTTAGAGGACAGAGTCACTTTCTGCTGCTCTTATGGCATCAATGTTTCTCTACACCACTTATTCCCCAGTCTCATCATCCCTCCCAACAATGAAAAGCCTGAGCTGTTTTTGCTGGAGTTTGTGGTGCTGGAGGGGATGATTCTGGTTATTGACATGCCCAATTCTCAATAGCACAGATGCTGATCTTCCTCCAGACCATTTGCACTTCTTTATCAGTGTTTTCCCCGTGCCCCCAACCATGGGTGAATTGTGCAGTAGCTGTTAACTGGCACCTGTACCCAACTGCAACTTCACACTGGAGGAGATCCAGGAGGCCTCCAATATTGTGTATGAGCATGATGACTTTGAAGATAAGGAGAACAGCTTCAAAATCCAGCTAAGCAATGGCAAGTACACAATGGAGCAGAAAGTGCTGATCATGATGAGACCTGTAGGATGACTATCAATGATGGGCTGGAGATAGTGATGACCTTGGACTCACCATGGACTCACCAATCTCTAACAGAGACCTTAAAGCCACAGTCATAGATTCAGAGGACAAGAACCTCACGTACATCATATGCTTGGCACCTAGGCAGGGCCTCCTTCAGCCTGTGAGCAAACGGAGCTGTTAGTGGACATGAACTTCACCCAGGATGATATAGACCAGGGTTATATCTGTTATGTTCATGCTGTCCAAGTTGTCCGTGACCTAGCTAAATTTGATGTTACTGATGGCATTAACCCCTTGATAATGATATAAAAAGTATCTATCAGCAGCATGGTTGTGGTCTTCCCTGAGGTGATTATTTGAGGCTGTGTCTAGACCTCACGGTTTTTTCGAAAAAAGTAGCCTTTTTCGAAAAAACTTCACCTGCGTCTAGACTACAGCCGCGTTCTTTCAAAATTAAATCTAAAGAACGTGGCTTTTCTTTCGACGGCAGTACTCCTCATTTCACGAGGAAGAACGCCTTTTTTTGAAAGTGCTCTTTCAAAAAAAGGTGTTCTTGAATGCAAACAGGGCTTTTTCGAAAGAGAGCATCCAGACTGCCTAGGTGCTCTCTTTCGAAAAAGCGGCTTGCTTTTTCGAAAGAGGCTTGCAGTCTAGACGTAGCCTGAGAGAGGGTAGAAAGGTGAAGCTCACAACTGACCTGCTTAGCACTAGTGACATTAACAGCCCTGATGAAAACCTACACCTCAGTATCACCCAGGCCCTAAGCCAACGGCATTTAGCGAGCTCAGACAGTCCTGGGGTGCCCGTTGCTTCCTTCTCTCAGCTCCAGCTTGCTAGCAATAAGATTTACTACCTCTCCACTGCAGAGGATGAGATGAAGATGGACAGCTTCGAGTTTGAAGTGACAGATGGCTATAATCCAGTCTTCTGCACCTTCAAGGTTTCCATTACTAGTATGGACAATAAAAAGCCAGTTCTAACGATCAATGATCTGGTGGCTGCTGAAGGGAAGACCAAACTGATTACTCCCTTTGAGTTGACTGTGGAAGACTGGGACTCCCCTGACCATTTGCTCCATTTCACAGTCACCCAAGTCCCTATCCATGGCCAGATTTTATGTAACAGCAGCTATCCTGTGACTAGCTTCACCAAACTAGACTTGAATGAGAATCTGATCAGCTATAGACATGATGGCACAGAAACCAGCCAGGATAACTTCTCTTTTACTGTGGCTGATGGCACCCACACAGACTTCTACATTTTTTTTTTCTGACACCCTCCTGGAGCCTCATCAACCCCAGATGATGAAGATCCAGATCAATCCCCTGGACAATGGGATGCCACAATTAGTGGTAAACAAGGGTCTCAACACTGAGAAGCTTTCTGATTGGACACTGCGGCTTCTTGATCACCAGCAAGTCACTTGGTAGAAGACCAAGACAGTCCACACAAACTGCTGAAGTACAGAATCACAGATGGTCCAGAACATGGGTTCATCATTCATCTTTGTCTTGGAAATGAGCGCATTAAGATGTTTACACAAGGTTGGTGCTAATAGATGTACTCGTTTACAGCCTTCAGATCCAGCAGTGTACCATAGGCAGTTCGCTTTCTCACTTGTGAGGTGATATAAAATTTACTGGATTGTTTTTAGAAAAATGATAAAGACAAAGATCTTAAGGTACATGGTAGCCTTGAAATTAGATTCATTTTAAAAGGAAGTAGAAAGGCTTGTTTTATTTACTAACACTTCACCTAAATGTCTCAGATTTACTTGCAAGACTTGATGATAACCCTATGCGTGGTTCAGTGGTTAGGTCCTGGTACCATGCACCAAGAGGCATAGAGTACATTTTTCAAAAGCACCTGAGGTATCTCTACGGTACCATGCACCAAGAGGCATAGAGTATATAGAGGTATCTCTATATAGCCCATGCCAGTGAACTTGTTTCAGATCACTTGGGATTGTGGGATTCACTCTAGCACTCCAAAAATAGCTGTGTAAGCAGCGCTTTTGACGTTGCTGCACAGCCTGGAGTCTAGAGATGTCTACTCAGCCATTTTAGAGTATTAGCACAAACCCAGTGAACTTGAATCTTGATCCTGGCTGGAAGGCTTGTTGCTGGTTTGTTTTCCATGGGCTGTGTGGACATACTTTGTGATTTAGTAACCCAGGGACCATTGATTTTTTTTTTTTTCAGTGAGACTTCCAGTGGATGCCAGAATTGCTCCACATCACATTTGAAGGACTTAAGAGCCTACATCAAATAAATACTTTTAAAAAAATGTAGCCCTAGCCTCCATTCCAGTCTTGGTGTGTGACCTAGGCAAATTCATTCTACGTTTCTGTACTTCAGTTTCACCACCTCTAAAGATGGGATTTGTAGATTTGCTGATAATGTGTCAAATGGGGATGTAAAATCCCATTTAAAATGTTAATCAGTTAAACTATATGTTTAACTGGTTAATTGGCCAGCAAGGCGTGTTGTGGGCAGGAGGCCACTAGAGCAGCCCCTTCCTATGGCGTGACATGGTGAGCCCAGCTGGGCTGGAGCAGCCCCCATTCTGTGTGCCCCACAGTACAGTGTGGTGGGCTTGGCTGGGCTACAGCAGCCCCTCCACATGTGCTGCACCATGGAGGCTGCTCCAGCCTGGCTGGGTGCTGGTTAACTAGTTATCTAAGTAAGCAAGCCAGCTGGGCAATGCTTACCAGGTAACTAGTTACCCCTGCATCCCTAGTGTCAAAGTGTGATCTGGAATGCAATGCTTACCAGGTAACTGGTTACCCCTACATCCCTAGTGTCAAAGTGTGATCTGGGAGCCTATTGTTCTGTCACAGGACACAAGCAGTTCCCATGTATAGCAATGTGGAGTTACTCATCTCTTATGGGGGATAATCAAATCTTAATATGGCCCCAAAGCGCTTTGACTATAGATCTTCTTCCCACCTCCCAAGATCAAAATGGGGACAAAAGCAGAAAGCAGCCACCTTTGTTTCTGGATTTAGAAAAGAAGAGGCTATCAGGTTGCAAATATGGATGTAAGTAGGTGTGGTTAGGCACGGGGTCAAGAAGGATGGGTGCACTCCATGGACTGTCCTCCACAATCCCCTCTGGGAAACCAGCAGAGAATCTGTAAATATAACACTATAAACCTAACACAGTCCGGGACTATATTAAACTTTTCATTAACTCTTTCCACATTGTGGAACCTCTACCTTTTAGAGACTTTATCCATTCACCTGCACCACAGCTGAGCTGACACGAGCCTCAAAAGACCGGTTGACACTCCAGCATGGAATTTGTGCAGAAGTCCACTGACAGATTTTGCTGCCTCATCTTGGAGCATCATTAGGTTTTTGGGTGCTCATTTTGAAGAGGACAAAACCCTTGTAGCAGAAAATATACACAGATGACTAGAAAAACTGCATGGTTGACTTTCACGCAGGTGTACAACCTAGTCATGTCTAAATACTAATTAAACAGTGCAAGAAATGGCTCTTTCCACTGCCCTTAGCTGCTTTAGTTCTGTTATTACATGCTGAAGAAATGCACAACCTTAATTTGGGAAGAGGGAAAAAAGCTTCTTTTATGATGCACTTATTTGTAGTTTCAAGACTCTAGTCTGTAACAAATTTCAGATTGAGTTCTTCTTTATTAACACTTTATTTGTCTTTCAGTTCATCTTTCAATCTCTAGTGTAGTGAAAAATGTTTACAATGTAGCTGTTAATGTTCCACATCTGTAAATAATTGTTTCAATTAGAGCCTGTTACCTTCAATAGCAATTAACACCCAATTATGCAGAGAAGCAATAGATCCAGAATATTTGCTTTGCTGAATTGTGTATGAAGAAATTGATGCACAAAGAAGGTTCACATAAAACTGAAACTCTTAACTTTGTTTGTGAAGAAGAAAAATATCTTCAGTAATCTTTGAATTAGCAAGTTCAGAAATGGTCACAATATAAAATAAAATAATTCCCACACTTCCCACTGTTTTCCCCCCTGATATAGTCATGTGCAATAGTTTTGTGTATTAGGGTTTTTTTAATCCAAAACTATGGGGCTCAAGTTTTACCCTCCACTGTATAATTTAAGTGTAGCAGAGTCATTCTTGCCATATTGTTGGTGAAGGGTTTCTGATTACCAGAATTTGCATTTAGTTAAAACTTGTAATATATTAACAGATTAAAACAACAAATTAGTTTTTAGCTTTAAATGTGTAAACAGGTTAATTACTGATACTTCCTACCTTGCTCTGTAATGCAATGCTACTACAACAGTGTGTTCTTGTGGGGAGTCTTCTACAGCTGGCTGTTTCTTTGTCTCAGCTAATGTTAAAGCATTATTCTTCAAAAATAATTAGTAGTTTATGGGAATGTGATCAAATATTGTTTACTGAAGTAAAATACCTATAATTAAATTCTACTGGTAAGTTTTATATTCTGCAGTAAAATGCTTTGATTCACTTATAGCATGTTTCTTTTATCAGCTATGCCTTAAAAGAGGGTGACAATTCTTCCAGTGATATTATCTACTTCTCTAATGAAGATAATGGTAAGATTATACCTCTTACATGTACTATACCTTAACATGAGATCCAGCAACAGAATGGTATTCATATTGAAATTAATGAAATATTTCACTCTATTTTATTGCAAGTTCATGAACGTTATGTATAATTTTATTCTGAAATAATGTCTGAGCACATATTAAATATATAATGAAACGAATGTAGATTTCAACAAAAAAAAACAAAAAACAAGGAGTCTGGTGGCACCTTAAAGACTAACAAATTTATTAGGGTATTAGAGCACTGAATGGTGTAAAAATTCTTAATAGGTTACAAAATCTTTCACCAATATGTCACTACAGGCAGTCCCCGGGTTACGTACAAGATAGGGACTGTTGGTTTGTTCTTAAGTTGAATTTGTATGTAAGTCGGAACTGGTACATATTGTAGGGGAAACTCTAGCCAAACATTTCTCCAGAGCTCAGTTTTATTCTCCCACACCTCACTTCCCTCAGTCCTTTATTCTCAAGCTGAGGTGTCTGCTGAGAAAAGCCGCTCCGAGTCTCCCTGGTTTGCTGGGGGAGGAGGGGAGGGTACTAGCTTCGCGTATCCCTGGTCTGCTGGGGGGAAGCAGCTAGTGTGGGGTTGCCTCACCCCGTTTGTAAGTAGGGATCCGATGTAAGTCGGATCCATGTAACCCGGGGACTGCCTGTATTTCAAATCTTGTCACAGGTCAGTAGTAATTGGAAGCTATGATTGCTTTTCTGTGGCCTGAGTGGAAAGTTGTTGTTGATACTAGTAGAGTTCCAGACATGCATATCACAAAAACTTAATATCACTCTATGTAGCCCCTTGTTAATAGTGTCAGCAGAGACCAAGAACAGAGTCAGCATGGAGGCTGAACACTGCATTGCCCATACACCCAAACAGGGAGTCCCTCTACCTCTAGATCAGGGGTGGGGAAAATCAGGCCCATAGACCGGATCTGGCCTGCCAAGCATTTCTCTCCAACCTGTCCAGCTGACTAGCAGAGCGTACATGCTTGCAAGTGTGTTCAGCTGCCCCTCCCTCACCTTGCTCCCTCCTGCAGCTGAGCTGTTCCCAGGATTCTGCCACTAACTGTGCAGAGCAGGGGGGATGTGTGTGGAGAGGAGAGGGGAATGCTGAAGTCAGGGTGTGCCCCTGAACCTCATCTCTGCAGAGCAGGGATTGGGGAGTGGGAGTCACACAGCGGAGCTTCTCCAATCTGTAGCATGGATGGTTAGTGACTCAGAAGAGTGCCTGTCTTAAGAGGCAGTGAACTTTCTCTGCAGAGCAGGGATTGGGGAGTGGGAGTCACACAGCGGAGCTTCTCCAATCTGTAGCATGGATGGTTAGTGACTCAGAAGAGTGCCTGTCTGAAGAGGCAGTGAACCGTTTTTAAGATTTTAGTGCTCATGCACTCTCTGTCATATGCACATGCTCACACGTGTGTACACACACGTGCACATACTCTCTCTCTGTCACACACCATCTCTTCAGAACCAGGGAAGGGGGAGACAGCAGAGCTGGGCAGCTTTTCTGGTCTTAGAGAAACAGAGCATGGCTTATCTCAGAAATTCAGCCAGCATACACACACTGTATCTCTGTGCCACATTATTTCTGTGTCATTCATATATACACACACACTTCCAGTCTCTGTGCCACACACACTCAATCTGTATCACAAAGTCTGGTAATGTGAGCTATGTATGTTTTTATATGACTTAGCAGATAAATGAAGTCCAGTAAAGTGCAGGAAGGGCAGAGCTGGCATCCAAACTTGTAAGGGAGCTGCTTGTATAAAGGTTTCTGTAATTACAATGAATGTGCTAAAGGAATTCCATTCGTAATGACTTTCAGGGTTGCTCTCTGCTAGGATGTCAAAAGATGCTTAGAAAAATGGTCTCATGAGCAAAGGATTCATATGCTAAAACGAATGCAGGTGGCGAAAATCTAGTGGCTATAAAAGTGAGGTTGGATTTTAATTAGGGCTGTCTAGTAATTGCGCAACTAATTGCAATTTTTAATCTTAAAAAAAGATTAATTGTACGATTAAACAATAAGACTCCAGGTCACCCTGGGCTCTGAGTTGTGCTGCCCCTGTGAAATGCCACCGCAGTGTTTTGAAGGGGCAGCACAATGCAGAGCCTGAGGTCAGCTGGAGTCTCCTGCTGAGCCTTGGCTCTGTGCAGTGCTGCTGCTGTGACACTTCAAAGGGGCAGCACAGTGGGAACCCAGGATCAGCTGTGCAGCGGTGCCTCTTTGAAAACCTTCTGCAGCATTTCAAAGGCACAGTGCAATGCGGAGCCTGGGGTCAGCTGGAGTCCCCAGCTCATCCTGGGCTCTGCTTGTGCTGACCCTTTGAAACGCAGCCATGGCATTTCAAAGGGGCATTGCTGCAGGGAGCCTGGGGTCAGCTGGGGACTCCAGCTGATCCCGGGCTCCCACTGTGCTGCTTGTTTGAAACACCCTACCGGCGTTCAAAGGGGGCAGCGCTGCAGAAATGCCCGCGATTAACACATTTAAAAAATTAATGCATTAATTGTGCTCTGCATTAATCGCAGGTGTTGATGCGCATTAATAGACAACCCTAATTTTAATATTGGCCAATTACTTGGTAGAGTGCTAGGAAAGTTTAATGTGATCATGGAATTATATGACTAGAAGGGGCCCTTGAAAGGTCATCTAGTCCAGTCCCCTGCACTCATGGCAAAACTAGACCAGAGGGTGGTTAATAAGCCCCAGGTGATTCGCTAGAGTTAGCCCCTGGCAGGCCACTGGCACTTTTTAACTTGTGCGTTCGCAGGTACAGCCACTCACAGTTCCCATTGGTGCTGGATTGCTGTTCCCAGTCAATGAGAGCTTCAGGAAGTGGCACAGAACAGGACACGAGTTCCCACAGCTCCCACTGGTTGGGAACGGCGATCTGTGGCCATTGGGAGCTGCAAGCAGCTATACCTGCAGACGAGCAGGTAAATACTGGTAGTCTTCTAGGGGCTAACCCTGGTGATCCATCTCTGGCCTGTGGTGTCTAACTTTTAAAAATCTTCATTGATGGGAGATTCCACAACCTCCTTAGGTAATCTATTCCAGTGCTTAACCACCTTGACAGCTAGAATGTTTTTAATATTTCCAACCTACACCTCCCTTCCTGTGATTTAAGCCCATTGCTTCTTGTCCTATCATCAGACGTTGAGAACACTTTCTTTTCTCCCTCTTCCTTGTAATAACTTTTTAGGTACTTGAAAATGGTTGTCACCTCTTAGTTTTATCTTTTCCAGAGTAAACAATCCCAGTTTTGCCTCCTAGATCATGATTTCTAGATCTTGTACCTTTTGTGGTCGTATTCTTTGGACTTTCTCCAATTTGTCCACATTTTTCCTGAAGCGTGGAGCCCAAAATTGGACACAACACTCAGTGTGGAATAGATCAGAAGAATTACTTCTTACATCTTGCTTATGTCACTCCTGCTAATATATCCCAGAATGGTGTTTGCTTTCTTTGCAACTGTGTTACACTCTTGACTCATATTTAGCTTGTGTTTCTTGATTTTTTTTTTTTTTGAACCATTACATCATTTTATGGAAGTCAGAATAATTTAAAATACTGAACCAATTTCAACCCTGGTTGAACTGAATCTTGGAAGAATTTGTCTTATGCTTACAAACCAAGATGGAATAGTAGGCTGCTAGAATGTACAGCCTTCATAGTCTGAATGAACCAATTTTCGTTATGGTTTTAAGTTGGGTGAGTAAATTATTTCATTGAGCTTCAAGGAACTAGAAGGCCTCTGCTTCATCAATGAATGCACTATGCCATGTTTCATAGCTGGCACTTTGTATGCTTGGCAACATTACAGCTGGAAATATCTTCTCTTTTAGGAGCCAATAGATTAATAATCAATAGACAAAGCTACAACACGCTGCAAATGGCCTTTGGTCTGTACTTCCTTTGATGAAAGAAAAAAGTTGAACATAGGCTATCTGGGAATAAATTGGCAAAAATAAAATAGATTTCTTATAACAATTATTGTCTAGCTGATTTTGTAGTGCCATGTAACTGATGATGTTAAACAATATCTCTTCATTCAATGGAAATGCATTTCTTGTTTTTCCATTCGCTAACATTGCTCTTACTATGCAGGAGAAGTTATGAAGTGCCACTTACTTTTCTTCCAGATGTCTTATTTTGCTGTCAGTTGATGAATGTTTGAATCCTTTACTGGCTATGTCATGATCAGCTTGGCTAACTGCAAAACAATTAGAAAAACTGGGGGAGGGAAAACCACACACAGTTGAACAGATGGTGAATTTCATTACTTATAGACTAAGGGACACAAAGTCTGTAGAGCTGGAGCTAGGTTTTATTAGCAATACTTGTCTTTGCTAAACTGAGCAATCCTGTTTGATAAATTAGTAGGCCATAAATGTACTTTACGATACTACTTTTATAAATAAAATGGAAGAAGAAAGCTGTTGTCTAAGGCAGTTGAACTGAGGGAGTAAATTATATTCTGTAGCTATGTGTATTTATAAATGAAAATGGCTAGAAGTTATTGTCTGGGTTTTTTGCATGCTAATATAACTGGCATAACTTCAGGAAAAAACTACGTGACCATTGTCAATTAAGAGGGTGTCATATCAATGAGTATCAGCTGTCCAATGCAGAAAATAAGCAAACTGAAAATTAGAAGGAAAAAAAAATTCTGTCCAGTCACACTTTGGCTTATAGCAGGGGTGGGGAACCACAGGTGCGCTGGCTGCACGCAGCTCGTCCGAGGTAAGCTTCTAGAGCAGGGATGGGCAATAATTTTTTGCCGGGGCCACTTCAGAATTTTTTTTAAGCAGCCCCAGGCCACACCGGAAGGCGCCTTTGCCCTCCCCCAGAGCTTCACCCTAGGAACCCAGCCACAGGCCACACCGGAAGGTGCCTTTGCCCTCCCCCAGAGCTTCGCCCTAAGAGCCCATGCCCCTGGCGGTGAGAGGAGACTTCGCACGCTCCCCCTTTTGCCCTCAGGCCAATC